AAGGAAGGAAGGAAGGAAGGAAGGAAGGAAGGAAGGAAGGAAGGAAGAGCCTTGAATGTTGGATTTCAGAACAACAGATTTTGATCAACTCTGATATAGAAATGTCAGATCCAATGGCTTAAAATACTGAAAGAGAAAAAAAGAAAAATGGGACATGAAATACTAAAGGAGCAATTGCCTTATGTCCTAATTGGGAGGCTAGTGTGACATACACAGGACTCCATACTGAAAAGAAAAAGTGGAGGATTTGAGACAGCAATCAGAAACTCCAGGGATGCATAGACTGAGCTGTGGCAAGAAATGTCCAAACCAAGGGGAAAATAAAAGGAAATTTTGGTGTATGCCAGAGATGAACAAAAAGGCAAAGAGGTGGTCAGACCATTATGAAGAGAAAGGTGAAATGGAAAGAGGTAAGAAGCTTATAAGGATGAAAAGTCAGAAAGTTTCAACTCATTTCTTAGGAAGGAAATGAAACTCTGGTTCTCCATGGTTGTCCCACGAGTGGAAGGAGGACGTGGCGGGTGTCGGTTGGACCAGGAGAGGGTAAAGGGCAGTTAGCTAACTGAAATCCCTCAGGCCAGAGGGATTCTGGGAAAAATAAGCAAAGGCTTTGGGTTATCTTTGAGAACTTCTGATGACTGGTGAGGTCCCGGAAGACGGGAGAAAACAAATATTGTTCCCTCCCATGAAGGAAAGAGATCAAGTCACTTAATGACCTGCAGTTGACTTACTTAAGGACTGAGTAGGAAAAGGTGTTGTTTTTATGTCATGGTCACATGATTTGCTTAGGGACCACCATGACCAGCAACAGACCCCCAGTGGGATCCCACCTGTTCCACTGCTTAACGCAGGTGCACCTAACGCAGGCAGGCAGGCAGCTTTCTCTTCTTTCTCCTCTCAGCTGATCATCGGAGGCTTTTATTTTACTCCCGGTTCGGTTGAACTGGTCAGAACCGGCAGCATATACCACCCCTGCAACAGACCCCTTGGCCCCCGTTGTTGTCCTTAAGTGAGGATTATTTGTATCTAGGATGCAGTGATTTTGTAGTCTTAAAAATGGTGTTATAAATAGAATAGAATTCTTTATTGGCCAAGTGTGATTGGACACACAAGAAATTTGTCTTGGTGCAAATGCTCTCAGTGTCCATAAAAGAAAAGATACATTCGTCAAGAGCCAAGAATCATCAGGTACAACACTTAATGATAGCTGTAGGGTACAACAAGCAATCAAATCATACTAGGAAACAGTCAATAAAAATTGTTAGCGACAAAGTCACAGTCATACAGTCATAAATGCTGAGAAAACATTGGCTTTTTGCCATTGGAATGTGAAATACTGTGGAGATTGCTGAGAAGAAACTTCTGTGGGTGAGCTCTTTGGCCCTTGGGAATGGCCGGCCAGGGAAAGTTGAAAAATTACAACGAACAGCAGCCCCTGTGGATGGCCAGAGCCTCTGCTATGGAAGGCCTCTGTTTGGCACGGCAATCTTCCCAGTGGATAGATGGAAACTTAGTTGTTCTTACAATTTCAGCAATATCCTTGGTGATATCGCTGCAAGCCCTGAGGACGTGCCGGGAATGCTGTGGGAGATCAGGGGGAATGGAACAGGGAACTTGGGGAATTACTCTGGCCAGCACAGGAATCCGTGGCAGTGACCACGGGTGCAGGAAATCTTCCCCAAGAGAGGCTGCTCACCTGCTCCTTTTTAGAGAAGCACTGAAGGCAAGCAGACCTCTCTCTGGGCGCAAATAAATATTGGCCATTTCCAGGGCTGGGAAAGCAGGCTCTTTTTCCAGTTGTGCCTCATGCATGATCACAGATGGCCCACTAATATAACATCTATTTCAGTAAGTTGAATCATGGTAACAAACAGACAGGCCTGGGATTTTACGCACCCTGGTTTGTTCAGATAAAAGGCTACTGTGGTCAGTAGCTACTTGCACAATTGCCTCAGAAAGTATACCTCAGCCATTTTGAGGGCTTTTCATGCTGCCGAAAGTTCATTTAAGTTGAGTGTAGAAGCATCTTGGCTGGATCATTGTGGCCGGCCACCTCGATGGAGAGACGGGCCTGCATGAGTTGTTTGACGGGAACTCCTGAAGAGTAAAAGATGCTGTAGGAGGGGAAGATGTGTAGAGAGCGGTGGGGCTGACTTGGAATGAGTCATCAGGAGAAAATCTAAAGTGTGGCTAGAATGATGGTTGATATTTTCTAAGGGGGAATGGGAACATTGCTGCAACTGATGCATTTGCATATGAGATGATTTACTACTGTACCTGGGTACCAATGTAAGTTGTAGTAACTGCTGAATGTCATATAATCTGAAGCTGAGGTGCCAAGGTTGACAACTTAAGCATCAAGCACTGAAGTCAAAGCAGACCCAAACCTCCTGGAGGGGTGGGTGCTCCATTGCTAGAGGATTCCTCCTGCCTTGGGTGGTGGGGCTGGACTAGAACACCTCCAAGCTGGGGAAGATGTTAACGGACCTACAGAACTGAAATGAGAGGCATAGCCATGGGTTTCAGAGGGAAAGGGTGAAGATAGGGCAGTCAATGTGGGGGCTCTGGAGTTGCTTAGGGGGTTAGTATAATTGCTAGGAAGGAGGACTGACAGTGAGAACAATCCTACAGTGGAATGGCTGGCCTCCAGAAGCTGTCCGTGCTCTATTATTGGAGGTTTTAAAAAAGAGATTGGACAGCCATTTATGTACCTGAGGACTGTGGTTCTCAACTGGGATCACAGTGGATCCACGAAGACTTGAAGAAATGTTAGAATTTAAACCTTGAGTTAAGTCTTGGTTGTCCATGGCCATGGCCTGTGGCCACAAAAGGTATGTAAAGGGGGTTCATGGTGAAGAAAAGATTGAGAAGCATGGTTCTTTCTTGGATTTTGAATGGAGCACCAGCTGACACACGGGTCTAGGGTCTCCTGCTTGAGCAGGGGGTTGGACTAGAAGATCTCCAAGGCCCCTTCAAACCCTGTTATTCTGTTCTTTTCTGTTCAAACGAAGTAAGTGGTGATGTTGGAGAATCTTCTGGAAGAATAGACTGAGGTGGAGAGGAAGCCTTATTATTGGCTTTGTAAGTAATATTAATCTTGACGGCGGTCAGATTCCAATAGTTCTTTGATGTGAACAAATAAGCAAGATTTTGAAATGAAGTCTTATATAAACATAATAATCCAATAATTCTTATGTATTTAGTTGAGTTTAAATTTCCAGAACCAGTTGGAATTGTGATATAGGGCAGGGGAGGAATTAGTTGACCAAATGGAAGAATGTTTATGCATTATGCCCAGGGAAAATATGGCCCCCTTTCAAAAGTGGGATGGGGAAACCCCACAAATTTCAGGCCACTCAGTTTGAATTAGTATTTGGCAATATTATGCAGTGGATCATGAAGCTTTAAAACCATGCAATAATTACCAGAAATGAGCACCCATTTATTAAGAAACGAGACTTGCCAGATTAACATTATCTGACTGTTCAATCTGGTAACTTCCTTAGTATTTCATCTCTTGATTTTATCAAACCACTTGACAAAGAACAGAACATTCTGATTAGTAAGCTAGTTAAAA